TTTTAAAATATTTATTTTACGTACTTAATTTGATGGTTTAATTTTTTTTTCTTTCAAAATTTAAAAAGAATTAATTATTTTAGATATTACTATTTATTTTACCACATAATATTTACTTCTCAATATATTTTAAAAATGCTTATATTCTACGACAACCGGTTACATATATAAGAATTCGGTCAAGACCAAATCAAATCGAAAATCTAAAAATAAAATAAAATAAAAAAAGACCAATAAAATTATGAAAAATGAAAAACTCAATTTGGCAATTAAAAAAGACCAATAAAACTTAACAACTAATCTACGCTTAAACCGAAAAAGAAAAGTGTAATTTTGAAGGTTTTTGCACGTGTTTTCTAAAATTATTTACTGAATTTTTCTTGGAATAATATTATTAATAAAGTGTTTTGACAGATTATTAGCCGGGAAAACTCAGAAGCTAATCACGCAATCTCCACACCAAAAATTGAATGGATTTAAATACTACCAATTTTCATTAAATAAAAAAAAAAAGGAAATTGTACGGTCTTGATTGTTTCAGAATGATGACGTGGCAAGATCAGGCCGGATTGGTAAAACGTCACCGTAACAATCACGAAAGGATGGGAGGTAGTAATCTGGTGTACTGCCACTATCTGATTGATTTTGCACCTTATTTTCTTCCTTTCCCATTTCCCTCATATGTACAGGCAGAGATTAAATCCTCCCCTCTTGGATCTATTGCGTCTTCGTTCCCTTCTCTACCATTTCTCCTGTCCTTCGCTATGGCGACTCCGAGATCTACATCGATCCGGAACTTCTTCATTGCTGCTGTTCTCTTGCTTTTGATTCATGGAGTTAACTCTTTCTACCTTCCTGGTGTTGCCCCCGAGGACTTCGAGAAGGTTAGTTGTCGCGAATACGCTTGTTTGTGACTTGTTTGTGTTCATTGTTTGCATTGTTGTGGTTTCTCTGGATTGGGGGGTGTAATTGCTGCTTGATCCGTGTTGTATCGTCGGATCTGTGGTTGATGTTGGGAGCTGCTGGAATTACGGGGGTAGTGTGTGGAATGGGATGAGTGTGGTGGAATCTAGATCTGGAAATCTCGTTTTGTTGTCTGTTGTTTGTTGTTATTTGTAGTTTTTGCATCGTGGTAGATCACCTCAATCTTGAGCGGGGATTGTTTGTGTGGGAATTTTAAGTGCATCGTACCAAAATGCAGGTGTCATGTGATGTAGAAAATTTATGTTACGGATTAGAGACGCTTACTCCTAGATTCAACTTTTGTTTTGAAAAGTTGCATGAATCGTAGGGAATACGAAGCATCCCTAATGGCAAGTCATCTCTTTGTTTTTATCAAATGTGGTGTGGGGGATGGGGAGGGTGTAAGTCAGCTGGGACTAATGATTCTAGATGCTCTTTGAAGGGATGAAGACACTGCATTTTCACTCTCATTCTTATATCATATATAATGTTTACATATTATGTTGGATTCTGCTATTGTTTTGCTTGAGTTGTAAAAATATCTCAAAATATGTTGGAACGTTTTTCAATCTCAGTGAGAATAGAATCTCGTGTGTGCGAGTGGCATAATACCTTCGTCATAGTGCGTTTCTGATCTAAGAGATCATTGTGCTACTTATTCATGTTTGGATGCAGGGAGATGAATTGAAAGTGAAAGTAAACAAATTGACATCAATCAAGACTCAGCTCCCTTACTCGTATTATTCACTCCCATTTAGTCGTCCAGAAAAGATTCTGGACAGTGCAGAGAACCTAGGTGAAGTTCTTCGAGGTGACAGAATTGAAAATTCCCCCTATGTGGTGAGTTACGATTTACCTGAGCATAGGAAACTTCCCTTCTGTTTGCCATAGTTAAGTTCTTGACCCTATTGGATTTGGAACTTTTTGCAGTTTAAAATGCGGGAGCCTCAGATGTGTAGTATAGTTGGTCGGATTAAACTCGATGCCAAAGAAGCAAAGGAGTTCAAAGAGAAGATCAACGATGAATATCGGGTCAACATGTACGACATTTCTCTCAGGGGAAGAAAAGCATATTATTGTCTTCTGTTGTTTATTGATCGCTTTAGGGTTTCACATCTTGAATCTGCCGTTTATGTGACAGGATCCTGGATAACCTTCCCCTGGTTTTTCCGATTCAAAGGCAGGACCAAGAGTCACCTGTTTACCAAATGGGTTATCATGTTGGGCTTAAAGGCCAATATACAGCGGCAAGTTCTTTAGTTTTTCATCAGCAAATTGATGTTCATATTTACACAAAATTGATTTTAATTTATTTTCTGATTTTGTACAGAGCAAAGATGAGAAGTACTTTATCCATAACCATCTAGCATTTACAGTCAGATATCATAAAGACATGCAAACTGATTCTGCAAGAATCGTGGGATTTGAGGTCAAACCATACAGGTTATTACTCCATCCATTCTACTCGAGCATCGAGCTTTTGATTTTCCAGGTTTGGTAGTAGTTTGTAATGCAACCTGCTTACAGTGTTTTGTTGCATTCAGTGTCAAGCATGAATACGAAGGGAACTGGAACGATAAGAATACTCGGCTCACAACCTGCGACCCCCATGCAAAACACATGGTTGTTAATTCCAACTCACCACAGGAGGTCGAAGAGGGAAAGGAGATCATATTTACTTATGATGTTGAATTTCAGGTGCGCTTGCAGATCTTTTAGTGCTATAACCTTTATTAGCCGCTTTCTGTCGCTAGGTACACGTAATTCATTTTGAGGGACCAGAACACCCATTGAATTAGATTTTTATTTTCTCACTGCCATGTCCTTTTCTCAGCTATAGGACGTCAAGGATATTTAGGCTAAACTTACTAGGCCATGAACTCATGTCTAGATTTACGGGCTACTTTTTATTTCCTTCAGGAGAGTGAAGTGAAGTGGGCTTCTAGATGGGATGCGTATCTTTTGATGAGCGACGATCAAATCCATTGGTTCTCTATCGTCAATTCATTGATGATTGTTCTTTTCCTCTCCGGCATGGTTGCAATGATTATGCTCCGTACATTATACCGTGATATTTCGAAATACAACGAGCTTGAAACCCTGGAAGAAGCACAGGAAGAGACGGGGTGGAAGCTTGTTCATGGGGATGTTTTCAGGCCTCCTAAGAATTCAGATCTACTATGCGTGTACGTTGGAACGGGAGTTCAGTTCTTGGGAATGGTTGTTGTAACAATGATGTTCGCCATCCTTGGGTTCCTCTCCCCTTCAAACAGAGGTGGACTTATGACAGCCATGCTCTTGCTCTGGGTCTTCATGGGTCTTTTTGCTGGTTTTGCCTCAGCTCGTCTGTACAAAATGTTCAAGGGTACAGAGTGGAAGAAGATTGCCCTGAATACCGCTGTCATCTTCCCTGCGACCATATTCGCTCTGTTCTTCGTTTTAAATGCCTTGATTTGGGGACAAAAATCATCCGGAGCTGTGCCCTTTGGAACAATGTTTGCTCTAGTCTTTTTATGGTTTGGAATCTCGGTCCCCCTTGTGTTTGTGGGCAGCTATGTCGGGTTCAGGAAGCCAGCCATTGAAGATCCAGTGAAGACAAACAAGATCCCCAGGCAGATCCCAGAGCAAGCTTGGTACATGCACCCAGCCTTCTCAGTTCTTATCGGGGGAATCCTCCCCTTTGGAGCCGTTTTCATTGAACTCTTCTTCATCCTTACCTCAATTTGGCTAAATCAGTTCTACTACATTTTCGGCTTCCTCTTCTTGGTTTTCATTATCCTCCTCATCACTTGCGCTGAAATCACCATTGTGCTCTGCTACTTCCAGTTGTGCAGTGAAGATTACTTATGGTGGTGGAGATCTTACTTGACCTCTGGCTCATCTGCCCTCTACCTCTTCCTCTATTCCGCCTTCTACTTCTTCACAAAGCTTGAAATCACGAAGCTGGTATCTGGAATATTGTACTTTGGATATATGCTAATCGTCTCGTATGCATTCTTTGTGCTTACCGGTACCATTGGCTTCTATGCGTGCTTTTGGTTCACAAGGCTCATCTACTCATCAGTGAAGATCGATTAATGAACTCGAACCAGATCGTTATCGACCATTATTTTGCTCCATTTACTTTTGCAGGATGCTGAAATTATATTCTTCTAAGATTTTAAAATTGAAGTATTACTATGATGCCTTCAAATGTAGCCTGTTGTACTCAATTTTGAATGATGTCAATTCTGTTGCTATAGCCAGATCATTTGTTCTCAGGGCTTCTGTTATCTATCTTCATATTGACAAAGGATTTTCGATCTTTTGAAAGAAAACGCGTGTAGATCTTTTTTCTTCTTCTTTGTCAGATTCTTCTTTAGAATGAATAAACGTTATCAATAGAACCTCATTTTCTTTCTTTCCATTTTTGATCTAGAAGGCTTCTTCTATATGCTTTGACTTCCACATTTGTATCAAGTTTGTAAACAAAGGAAACGGGTGGGTGATCTGAACCAAGGCATGGGACGAGAAGTCTTCAGGTTCAGCAACATTCTATTGACGACTTTTGCAAAGGATTAGGGATTTTTCAGGGTGTATAGGTGGGGTACCCGATGGCTCCGAGAGACCAGCAATGGTCATGGTGGCGATGCTGTAGGGGATTCGATAAGTTTTGCAATGTTTTGAACGCCTAGACCGTCATGCTGTTTTCGAACTTGAGGGTATTGGTGGTTCTCTTTGGAAAAGACAGGAAGCTGCAATACTTATCATATCTCCAGTAAATAACATATGAAGGCTAAAAACCATACTTCGAGCTCGGGTCTGAACTTGATTATGGGGTGGAGTGTTGTTGTGAGCAGCAAAAGAAACAGAGATTTCTGGTATTTCTCTAGCCTCATCTCCCACCAAGTCCCTGCTCCGGTGGTGGCAGCTCCGTTAGCCCCGAGCTCTGTTGTAGTCTCATCCGGTCGTGGCTCAATGGTAGCTTGGTAGTTGATCAAAACAATAAATTTAACAGAGCTCATAAATAAACACAAAGCAAGATTCTCGGAGGGGTATATCACAACGATCATACTATTATTAATTTATGGCAAAAAGGTAACTCAAAGTAACAAGATGATCACTGATATACAGATAAAAAAAAATCTAAAAAGCCAGCTACCAAAGTAGGCTAGATCATGTCTTGTTCATATGATCCCACTAGTTCAAAGAAACAAAATTTGGGGTGGAAACAACCAGCAAAAACAGCCCATGAGAGAGAGAGTAGAGTGCCAAAATCCCAACCAGGTCCTGTCCTAATAGCAACTAGCTCATGATGGGGCTGAAACTCCAAATGCATACATATAAAGACTTCTAAAGTAAAGGGAAAACAATTTAATGCCCCAAGGAGATCCAAATCCAACCTCAAAATTGACCAATTCTTCAAGAGTTGGGATAATTAAGAGCACAAGTGAATCTGGCTTTCATACTCCTGAAAGATGTAAAGGTGAGAAAGTGTTAAAACATGAAGGAAAGCTCATACTTCCATGGAGTGAACAAAAATCATTCAGTCAAACTTTGGTGCAAGAATGAGCAGTAGAACTAAAATGGCAAAAGTTATTACGAACATCAAAATTATTCAAATGGAAAAGCTTGTGATTATTAAGAAAGGACGCCAAAATTAGACATGAATGTGATAAACAGGTACCAAAGTGGACGAGAATTCAGCCCTCCTGCAGTTCATCATCTGAAGCAACCCCACATAATGGTCCTTGCAAACCTCCATTACTATCACCAAGAAGCTCACACGCAGCTTTCTCAAGAAATTCCTTAGCAGCAATTTGAACAGATTGTTTTTCAGAAGACTGATACTTCCTCTTCTTTTGTAAGTTCCTCTCTAATTGCTGCATTTTTGGCCCCTTCCCCCTACTAATATCCCTCATACTCTGCTTTTGATCTGAAAGTATTGAAATATTTCCTTGATCAAAGGGAATCAAGCACAGAAATTCCCTCCCCAACACAAAAAAACAAACAAATTCAGCTAACCTTGGGTGAGATCCGGTAGAGAATGTTCAATGAAGCGAGTAGCTGCTTGATAGTTCAAGGTAGTGGAACGCTTCAATGGTTCTTCATGAACAAATTTGAATGCAAAATTATCAATCTAACATGAAAGGAAGTATGAACAACAAAGAAACAATACCTTTACTCAAGCCTATGAACCGTTCTAGTTTGTCTTGATACAAGCTTAATCTCTCCTACATTCATAACAAGAACATAAGAACGATTTTTTTAAAAACAATGGAAGAATAATCACCAGATTCAATGAATGAGAATAATTACAAGCTCTGTGTTGATAGGATGATCATCGGGGTGAACGCCGCTACACCTCACCTTCACTGCAAAACATCAAAACGAACAAAGATTTCGCCTCCATAATCCAAAATAAAAGAGAAAGAAAAAATCAAGAACTCCTCGTATTTTACATGCAAAGAGAGTGGTAGTGACTCTAGCAAGCAAAAGCATAGACTGAGCTCGTTGGAGAGGCTGCATTTGGGCAAGGACTTCCGGCTCGGCGATAGACAGGAGGGAAATAAGGTGAGTTTGGACTTGTTCTACATTTTCCAATGTCGTCTTCACTGAATCCATCACTTTCTCGGGCACCACGGCGGAATCTCGAACACCTCCCTCCATATTTGCCCCCAATTTTGAACTCCGTCTCTATCACGAGCACTCACAGAAACCGAAGAGACGAGATTCAAATCCTTAAAAAGGAGACGATTTGGGATGGCGACGGCGGAGGGAAGCTCGGACCGTCGTCGTTGAATTGTGGAGGGGAAAGTGGACGGGTAGGGCTTTTGGGTTACAACTGGAGGAGGTTTATGGCGGCAGTTTGGTTCGATGCACCGCCGATCTCCATGTGGAGATTTTTCAGTTTTTCGTTCAATTATTTGAGAAAAAAAAAGGGTTAAATTATACAAAATAAAAATGTACTTTCATATTCTTAATTCGTTCAATTATTCGAAAGATTTTATTTGTTTAATTATTCTTGTATCTTTTTTACATTTTTTCCCCAAATTTACAAATATATTTTACACAAAATAAAAAATTAAAATTATAAAATGTTAAATTAATAAAAATAAACATTGTTTTTTTTTTTTTTTGTCTAAAAAAATATTTTAAATTTCAAATTTTTTAACAATACCACACTTTCAAAAAAAAAAAAACATTATTCTTATTTAATTTATCTTATAGGAATACATTTGAATTTTAAAAAGATTTTTTTTTTAAATTTTTTCCCTATTGATTTTGAAAGTTCATTAGTATTTGTAACGTGGTATTTCTAAAATTAAAGGTATATATATATATATATATTTTTTTTTTGAAAGTTTAAAAATATTTTTAAATTTTTAAAAAATGCAAAATTATTAATTTAGGTTTTATAAAACACGAAATTTACTTCTTTTATAATACATTAATATATAGGTGGCTTTTCCAATTTAGGTTCGGAGGGCAGCAGACCAAAGAAAATATCATCCATTCCCGAAGAAATGAAAAACCATGGCCATAGGCTTCGCACAAATACAAAATATCCAAAAGCGCCAAACCGCAGAGGAGTTGCATATCTCAGGAGCCCATTGAGGCTTGCAGTTTCCGACTTTTATCTAAATTCTTTCGGAACTCATCTGCAATCCAGCCGGAAAATGCTATTCTGAAGGCTTTAAGGTAATGTAAATGTAATTTACTTGGTTAACTTTCTGGATACTGAGGTTCCTCAACCATCCAATCATCCAATATCTGAATCCTTTCGGAACTCAGCTTCTTCATTCATGTTGTTGATTGAAATGTTCTGATGTCACTTGTAATCGTTAGCTCTTTGAGTATGTTCAGCACTTGTTGCAATGGTGCTTTTAGTAATTGTCAGATATACGCTTCAAGTTGTAGTGGATCATCGAGAGGTTTGATATCGGAAAATCAGGGGGATTTTCGAACTGCGACTTTGTCTATGGCGAATTGGAAGAAGCACAGGAAGAAGCGGAAGAATGTTTGCCGGTTTGCGTTGCAAAATCCGGAGGAAATGATGGTGGCGGTAAAAGAGAAGACGAAAAATCCAGTGTCCGAAGAGGAAATTCTTCGGGCTTTGAAATCGATGACGGATACTACGCGTGCTCTTTCTTATTTTTACTCTATACCTGATTTTCCTTGTGTTCAGCATACAACTGAGACGTGCAATTTCATGCTTGAATTCTTAAGAGTTCATGAGAAGGTGGAGGATATGGCTGCTATTTTTGAATTTATGCAGAAGAAAATTATTAGGAGGGATTTGAGCACTTATTTGACAATCTTTAAAGCTCTTTCCATCAGAGGTGGGCTTCGGCAGGTGACGATTGCGCTAAAGAAGATGAGAACAGCTGGATTTGTCTTGAATGCATATTCATACAACGGATTGATCCATTTGTTGATTCAATCAGGATTCTGTAGTGAGGCCTTGGAAGTTTATAGAAGAATGGTTTCAGAAGGGCTTAAGCCGAGCCTGAAGACGTATTCAGCACTTATGGTTGCGTTGGGAAAGAAGAGGGACTCGGAAACGGTAATGGTTCTGTTGAAAGAGATGGAAGGTTTGGGATTGAGACCAAATGTTTACACTTATACAATATGCATTAGAGTACTAGGGAGGGCTGGGAAAATCGACGAGGCGTATGAGATATTTAGGAGAATGGACGAGGAAGGTTGTGGACCCGACCTTGTTACGTATACAGTCCTCATCGACGCCCTTTGTAATGCAGGACGGTTGGAAAATGCCAAGGAGTTGTTTGTGAAAATGAAAGCTAATGGTCACAAACCTGATCAAGTAATCTACATTACTTTGTTAGATAAGTTCAATGATTTTGGAGATTTGGACACTGTCAAAGAATTTTGGAGTCAGATGGAAGCTGATGGATATATGCCCGATGTCGTTACCTTCACTATTCTTGTTGACACCTTATGCAAAGCCAGAGACTTCGACGAGGCATTCGCTACCTTTGATGTCATGAGAAACCAAGGCATCTTACCAAATCTTCATACTTATAACACACTTATTTGTGGACTTCTGAAGGCAGGTAGAATTGAGGATGCACTAAAGCTTTTAGATACCATGGAATCCTTAGGTGTTCAGCCGACTGCTTATACGTACGTTATTTTTATCGACTATTTCGGAAAGTCTGGAGATACTGGCAAAGCTGTTGAGACCTTTGAGAAGATGAAAGCTAGAGGAATTGTTCCAAATATTGTAGCGTGCAATGCATCGTTGTATAGCCTTGCTGAAACGGGGAGGTTGAGAGAAGCAAAAAACATGTTCAATGGGCTAAGAGAGAATGGTCTTGCTCCAGATTCAGTGACCTATAACATGATGATGAAGTGCTACAGCAAAGTAGGACAAGTAGACGACGCCGTGAATTTACTTTTCGAGATGATAAAAAATGGATGTGAACCTGATGTGATTGTGGTTAACTCTTTGATCGATTCGCTTTACAAGGCGGGACGAGTTGATGAAGCATGGAAAATGTTCGATAGAATGAAGGACATGAAGCTTTCTCCAACAGTTGTGACATATAATACGTTGCTCTCTGGATTAGGGAAAGAGGGTCGAGTCCAGAAAGCCATTGAATTATTCGAAAGTATGATTAAGCAAAGGTGTTCTCCGAACACGATATCGTTTAACACGCTCCTGGATTGCTTTTGCAAAAACGACGAGATTGAATTGGCTTTGGAAATGTTTTCTAAAATGACAGAAATGGACTGTAAACCTGATGTCTTGACTTACAACACTGTTATTTATGGGCTGATCAAAGAAAACAGAGTAAATTATGCATTCTGGTTCTTCCACCAGTTGAAGAAATCAATGTACCCCGATCATGTCACAATATGTACCCTCCTTCCCGGTATCGTGAAGAGCGGGCGGATAGGGGATGCTATAAAGATTGCAAAGGATTTCATCAACCAGGTCCAGTTTCATGTAAATAGATCCTTTTGGGAAGATTTAATGGGAGGAACTTTGGTTGAAGCTGAGATAGACAAGGCTGTTATATTTGCTGAAGAATTGGTATTGAATGGGATTTGCAGGGAAGACTCATTCTTGATACCTCTAATTAGAGTTTTGTGTAAGCAAAAGAGAGCACTTTATGCTTATCAAATATTTGAGAACTTCACGACGAAACTCGAAATCAAACCGACAGTGGTATCATATAATTGTTTGATAGGTGAACTTCTTGAAGTTCATTACACCGAAAAGGCCTGGGATCTGTTTCAGGATATGAAGAACACCGCCTGTGCTCCTGATACTTTTACCTACAACATGTTGCTCGACGTTCATGGAAAGTCGGGGAAGATCGCTGAACTTTTTGAACTGTACAATGAGATGGTTTCAAGGAAATGCAAGCCGAACGTCATAACTTACAACATCGTCATATCCAGCCTTGCAAAATCTAATAACTTGGATAAAGCTTTAGATTTTTACTATGATCTTGTTAGTAGTGATTTCTGCCCCACTCCTTGTACGTACGGCCCTCTCCTCGACGGACTAGCAAAAGCGGGACGCTTAGAGGAAGCGATGCAGCTCTTCGAAGAGATGCCAGACTATGGATGCAAGCCAAACTGTGCAATATTCAACATTCTGATAAATGGATATGGGAAAACAGGTGACATAGAAATCGCTCACCAGTTGTTTAAAAGGATGGTGAAGGAGGGTATAAGGCCAGACTTGAAGTCATACACCATTCTGGTAGAATGCCTTTGCCTTGCTGGAAGAGTAGATGAAGCCTTATACTATTTCGAGGAGCTGAAATCAACCGGTCTTGATCCCGACTTTATCGCTTATAATCGTATAATAAACGGTCTAGGAAAATCGCAGAGGATGGAGGAAGCGCTTGCTTTATACAGCGAAATGCGAGACAGAGGCATTGTTCCTGACCTGCACACATATAATGCAATGTTGCTTTATCTTGGGCTTGCTGGAATGGTGGAAGAAGCCGAGAGGATGTATGAAGAGCTCCAACTTGCAGGGCTAGAACCAGATGTCTTTACTTATAACGCTCTCATTCGAGGGTACAGCGTGTCGGGGAACCCCGAGCATGCTTATACGGTCTACAAGAACATGATGGTCGATGGCTGCAACCCCAACGACGGTACGTATGCACAGCTCCCTAATCCATCTTGAAATATCATGCATACTATTGAGAGTACAAATTGTACATATTTGAAGAGGGTTCTTTAAGATTCAGGAATACAAGTGATGGCACTTATCTGTTTTCTTGCCCATTTTGGTTGCTTCAAAGTCTGGCTTTTTAGAGCAGACCTTGAGAAGTGACTGTTGGAGAACATTATTTCGTATATATATATATATATATATATCGTAACATCATGAACTGTATAAATCTTTAACGATTATATTAGTTTATACAAATGTTCCCTCTCATAAGCAAAAAGAAGGGAAGGGGAAAATGTACAACTTAGAGGAAATCAATCGTACCAAAAGCACCTTAGCATGATCATCAAGTGGAAATCTCTGGTTCACAGATCGCTGGAAATTACATGGGAGCTACAAGTATTTGGCAATTATAGTTTAAATTCAATGAAGGCGTGAAAATTCCACTAAGGGGTCCAAATGATTCGAGAACTCGACCAATTTAGACTACCCAACTCGAACTATTAAGGTTAGGTTGAGTTGATTTTTTTTTTTCTTTTTTTCATTTTCAGTTTGGGTTGGAATACATTTTTAGAAAATTGAATATTAAGGTTAGTTCGTAGGTTTACTTTTCTAGGTTTACTTTTCTTTTTTGTTAAGTCAACCCAACAAACCCAAAGTTAAGGTTGAACTCATGAATATTAGAATGTTTGACGTTTGTAACTAATATTAGGGATGTATTATGACCCGTAAATGTTGATATTTGAACTTTATGTGGT